ATGAAGAAAGAAGAGGCTAAATGCCGAAGAGGCTAATGCCGAAGAGGTCCCCACTTAATTGTGGCTCTAGAGGGCAACTACATAGACTATTGAGTTATTTTCAAAAGTTCAACAGCAAGTTAGAACTTTTCGAGAATAGCTCTCTAGTCATATTTTATATTTTATTATATTACTTTTTTGCTCATCATTAATTTGTAGTTGTAATTGGAGATGATGGACCATTCCATCTCCTTGGGACACCAAATTCGTGTCTATATCGTCCAAAAGATGTATATGTGTTAGTTAGAGTCAAAAATATTAAAATTTTCGTAATATTTAATTTTGAAGCTTAAGTAACGTTTAGTTATTAAGTATTACAGTAATTTCTTTTTTCTTGTTTCGTCTTTAAAATTTGTCATTTTGATCGTATTTTATTAAATTTGCAATTTTTTTTTTCTATATAATGCAGCTTAAAAGTAGTTCATAATGTTATTATTAGATATTATTTTTTCTAGTTTTTTAATATTTGTACTTTTCCTTTTTATATATATATATATTTTTTGTAAATGTAAAATCACGCGTTTAAATGTAATTTTATTTTACAAACGATAAATAGAGATTGGATAAAAATAAATACGGAATTTAAATGAAAAGTGCATCTCTGCGAACTGGACGATTTGTATGTTAGGCTATTGTATCACTTTTGATTGTATGATTAATATAGTTTTCTTTTTGTTACAGGTGATCATCGTTGGATTTATCATCTACTCGTTTTGATTTTCTTCTACTTTTTACAATATATATGTATAAAAAACGCATTTCTGAAGTCACACACACGTATTTAGACACTCAAAATTAAATATAATTATTTTAAATTTTCTTACAATATAACTATACTATACATACTATCAAAGAATACAATATTCTTTAATAGTATTGTACCGTCATCGCGTTAAGTACATACTATCGTCCAGTGGTAACAAAAATGATGCTGGGTAGGTACAAAAGGGGACTTGTGAGTTTCTATATACTTCACCATAATAAAGTTGACATAGAACCGCAACAACAGAAAAAAACGAAAATATTTACCTATTGTTTAAACATTATGAACGATTAATTTATTTCTTTTCACTACCTTATAGGTCGTCACTTTGGAAATGAACTTTAAATATATCCCTTGCTTGTATACCAACTTTACTTTTATTTTTTTCTAAGTGTGCTTGCGCTTTGAATTTGTGATTGCGCATGTGTATAACTAACTCATTTGTTACAAACTTGAATGTAAACTAATATTCTACATTTTTATACCGGCTATAACGTTTTCGTCTTTATTCGTAAATAATAATTTCATTGTATTGAATAGTTTACTATAATATGAATTAACGTATACCTGAGCCACAGCAACGCGTGGCGGGGTCTGCTAGTATGTATATAATCATACGTACATACCTATTTATAGGGGTGATATAATATATTAACCATTTCTCACCTCCTATTGGGATTTTTTTCTCTATCTTTCTTATCGTTTAAAATTGTCATTCTGTACTACACATTTAAAACATTTTGTATTACTCATTGACCTCTTCACCCTTGAATATTTTAATCAACGAGTAATACACACAATATAGAAGAGAGAGAGAGAGAGAGAGAGAGAGAGAAGAGTATAATAATATTATTAAATTATTTATACGATTTTCATATTCGTACATTTAAAATTTTTATCAAATATACAAAGACATTATTAATACTAGTTATTATTGCGCCTAAGGATAGGCAAATTTCAAAAGCACTTTTATGCATACTTTCGGGTTGCCTACTTTCAAGAATTATTTATTTTCTTTTTATCTTCAATCAAAAATCTTTAAAATAATACATTTACCTCGAATGTATTAAAAAGAAATGATAGATTATTATCGTAACAAATCGTGAGAATTTTATTATCAGTGCAATTTGGTTCATGTGTAAAACATATCTCTCACTCATGACGTCGCCATTTCATAACTATTCAAAGTGTAATAATTTTTTTCAACTAATTAACGATAAATAAAAAATATTTGATAAAATAAAGTTGTGGAAATAGTATGCATTTAAGAGCACTTATTCATTTTTTCTGCTGTTGCAAACTTCGTTGCTTTGCTTAGAAATAGGAAAAAAAATTTTTATATTTTCAATTATTAATAACTAAATAAATATGCAAATGTTAATGTGAGCACTTATGTATTTTGATAGAGCAAATAGTGTGCAATTAGGAATATTTATTCATTTTTTTCTGCTGTCATGGTTTCTTGCTAGCGTATGTACGGTGCTCATCGTGGACACAATGTGACACGAAATTTATATATATAAAGATGTATTTATATAACACATACGTAAATGCTATTAATAATGAATTTATATTCGGAATATTATATGTAAGTATTTATATAATTATTTTGTTTTATTATATAGTATTAATTTTTAAAATTGCTTACAGAGATATATATTGTGACATCATTACATAAAGATATTCTTATATTCCTAATATGTATGTTTATATATTTTATTATTAGATGCTATCAGGTATTTCGTCGTGCAAAGATGTAATTATTAATTCATTAATCTAAAAATGAAAATTATATTTTATTTCGGTTAATGAAATTTACTTGAAGAATGAATTATTTGTTCTATAATATTTATATGCTTACATATAATTTTTCTACATGTCCGATCATACGTATTGTTTAAAAATAGTACTTACTTGGACATTAATTGGGCTGCCTAGTACATAAATAATTCCATCAGTAACGTCCTTTTGTGATAACATTGTCATTTTCTTCCAAATTTCTGATCGTATATTAAAAGCTTTAGTCATTTCAGTGTTCACAATACTAGGACTAATATCCTGGTTAAATAATAAACAATGATTAATTTCTTTTTTAATATCGAATTTATAAATGTTAATTTATTTTATATATTTAAATGCAACTATACATAATACATAAAAGCAATTTCATAATGAAAAAAAAAGAAACAAACAAACCAAAATAATAAAAATATTACCGAAATTTTAATGTTCAATCCCTCGTTCAAGATTTCATTACGAATACTTTCGCACATAGCTCGTACAGCATATTTGCTGGATGGATATAAACTGAATGGTAACTTTGTGATGTTTGCATTATGGCCACAAAGGCTGCATAAATAAATCAATTAATATTTAATGAACTCATAATAAAAAAAAATCTTAATAAAGTATACAATAAACTTGCCCAATTGTACTAACTATAAATACTAATAACATAATGTTATTGTATATTTTACTTTACCTGTTAATATTGATAATATGTCCTTGAGTTTTGGATTTAGACATTAATCTAACAGCTTCTCTTGTGCAAATAGCTATTGCGATCACATTAACGTCCATAATATTGTGAAAGTGTTCCGTTTTTCCATCTGCAAAAAAAGGAATATGATCTCGATATCGATATATTGGTACTTTTGTAAATATAATCTATATCGATTTTGTTTTCTCTATTTTTTTTTTCTTTAAAAAATATCATGCAATCCTAATAAATATAACTTTTCTTGTTTAAAGAATATCTTATAATATCTAACAATAAGTATTATATATATATGTACAATGTCTATAGGAAAATAACAAATTGCCCGTAACTTTAATTCTTCCGTTTCCTACGTTGCCTAAAAACGGCTGACATTGTGGGCAATGTCTAAGCATTACTCACAATATTTTTATTTTTAAAATTTTATATAAAATTTATTAGCAAACGTTTTAAATAATGAATAAAGTTCTCGAGACTCTTCTTTTTCACACACACACAATATGCGAATTTAATCATTTTATTATAATCGTTAAGTATTATTAAATACGTATATATGAATGTATATTATCAGAGTTGTGTTAATCCAAATTTGTAAAGGGTGCACTGCATCCGGACGACAAAGTTAGTTTACATAAATTGTTATCTTATTTATGGAATATATGCAATTTTTTTTTATTATTTTTTTAAGTCCATCCTGCTTATCTTTTAAACTAGTTATTTGCAATAATTGTGTCTTGCGATTAGAGTCAATGTTAAGCATTTATACTGTTTATAAATGTTATAAGTAAAATTATCTACAAAGTAAATTTTTTTAATGTTTAAAATAATCATTTACAATAATTATTATACAAATATTAAATATTAGAACTAACAATTGTGTTAATAAAGTGCATTAGGAAACATTCTTCTTTATCAATAAATTTTATCAATGTTTGTAATTGTTCGTAGAAAAAAAAATGATTTTTTTCTACCCTTTCTTTTAGATCTCAAACAAGTAGCAAAGAAATTTTTCTACCAATGCACAAAATTTCTTAAATCTTTCAAATATATTTATTTTTAAGATTTCCTTATTGTTAAGTAATTTATAAAAATCCTAAGATATGCTTTCTGTTTTGAATATCTACACGTACCGTATATATTAATGATTAATTACATATGATATCAATATCAATTAACATTGTTCTTCTAAACAAATTATTATTCTACCTACACGAATCTAAATGAATAATTATATTCTCATGTATATTTCTTTGTGATTGTAATAACATGCTAATTAATTATTATAAAGATAAAAACTTTACTAATGATTTTTTCATTGAAAATGACACCGGCATTGTTTATGAGAATGTTGACTTCATCGTGTTCCTTTTCAATATATTTAAAAACATTTAAGATTTCTTCTTCTTTAGTGACGTCACACTTTATAGGATAAATCGTGCCCGGTAAATTTAATGATTCCACTTTAGCTTTTAATTCTTCTAACTTGTGCAATCTTCTTGCAGTGGCAATGACTTTGATATTATATCGTGCCAATTCTTCGGCAATTGTAGCACCAATCCCAGAACTTGCTCCTGTCACTAATGCAACTTTACTTGACCAACGTTCCATCTTCGTAAGACTTCTCAAAGTATCACGTTTAACAATGACCGTTTCACTATCGTCTTGAAGATTTCTTCTCTCGCACTGCCTATTTAACGGTTCCCTTTCCCTTTTCTTCTCCCCCCATACGTCCCTTAAACCAATTATCGCGTCGGGCCAACAACTTGTATAAAAGAAAGAGTGGCTCGTAATAATTTGTTTGTCCCTCTCTAAGTTTTCTTTCATACACAATAACTAAATATTTTATTTTACAATGAAACCTAATTCGTTTCAATTATAATTGATTGGTTCTGTTAATTATATAATAATATATATTCAATTTAACGTTAAATATATTAATCAACATCAATTTGAATACTTCAAAAGTTTGTTTTTTACATCTGCCAATCTTGTTCTATTTAGATTTGCTTTTCCTTTTCTTTTTTCTTTTTTTTTCGAAAATATCACGCGATATTTTCAAATAACAAATACGACTTGGCTCGTTCCTTTTTTTAAAATAAAAAAAAATATATTAATCATTTATTTCTGTTTATTAATCAACACTTCATTTATCTTCAATGTTTAAGAATTTATCTATATGATTAATTAGTAATTGAACTGAAATTAATATCATTTTGTATGTTATGATAGGTAACGAATTAAAAAGAAAAAAAAACCTAAAATAAAAAGAATTTAGAATATTATTATTAGAATATTTAGAAGAAAATTGAATGAAGAAAAAGAAAACAAAAATGAAATAGATAAAATGATAAAAATTTAACAAAATGATTATACAAGAAAAACAAAATGTATATATCATCGAATGTAAGATATATCAAAATTTCTTTAAAATAATATTAATAATTAGACTCCGTCGCTAATAACCTTGCTATTTATACGAATATGAACTGGTAATAAAAAAAAAATGAAATTCCAGACATTTATGATAGTGCACAGCAATAATTTTTAATCACTTTTTACGACCGATATCTTTAATTGTTTTCTATTTTAAGATATTCATTTACATAAACATTAACATAAATATTGACTGAAGTATAAAATAAATGACATGTAACAAGTGAACCGAAAAATATGATAAGCTTAGATTATTCAATAAATCTATCGAAAACTTTTGTTATCTGATGTAACATGATTGAAAAATATGAAAAAAAAATGTTAGACATAAATTATTATCTTATAATTTATAATATATAGAGTAATTAAAAATATCTGTATCATGATTTCTAAGAATAACGAGCTAATTATGCTAACGTTATTATAACGAATAACAACGCGATAAAGGACTAAAATTGAATAATTAGTATATTTTAGATATCTTAACTTCACTTTCTATATTCTTACAGAATAAATTTAGCCACTCTTTAGCTAATTTGATATGTTGATATCAGCAATGTGATTCTTGGAGTTCAGTTGTATAGAAGAGTCATCATAGAAGAATTTAGTTACTTAAAAGAATTATGAAAGAGAGTTACATTATGTACAATAGTTATATTACGAAGAAATTCAAGTTTAAAGTGATCATTCAGAAATTAAGTAACATACAATTTATAATTTTCTATCTATATACATAATTATTATATTGCTAGACTATTTATAATTAAAATTATATTATTTTCTTCTATAATTTAAATACTTAAAGAAAAAATATCATATTATAAGGATTTGAGAGTATATCCGATAAATTTGTTTCTGTCTTTTTATCTTTTTTTAAGAAAACCGGTTTATTGCTTTTAAGAATCCAGTCCGTGGTATTTTTTGTGGTCTTTCATTACTGGATTTACAACAAATTTACATATATGTTCCCAGTTCATGGGCAACGGGTACGCGGAGATGATCATTTTACCATCTCCGCTGCGTAAAATGATGCTTGAAAAATATTAGATGACTTTTAAGAGCGATAAGTTTACAGATGCGACGAGTTAACATAAGACTTCATAAATCCTCGCTGCCCTTTTTACGTTGTGCAGCTGTTCAGGTTTATGTCTTATATGCTTATAATATAATAATAGCATGACTTTCAAATTCGTGGTACTGGGTCACTTACAACCTAGTGCTCTAATAAATAAGGCCCAATATAAATCAAATCGTAAACTTTCTCAAAACATATTTACCAAACTATTTTGTTTAACAATTATAGTTATAATTTCGTTAGAATTGAGACAAATGAAGTACAAAGAACAAAAAATATTGTATGTACTTCATAATAAAATGAAAAGGTAAAAGTATCTTGATCGGAAAAATGAAAAATATGTTTTTATTTAAATGGGCAAATTTGTTCAATTCGTTCTACGTACTCGTAAGATCTCATTAAAATCGATCGATGTAATGGTTCAAGTTGTCAAAAGCATATAATCAATTTTATAGAAAATCCGTATGTTTCATAGATGAATCTCGAAAATTACTAAAGCAGAAAAATTCGAACGAACACGATCATGTCGTGTCAGAATCCTATTGGTTTGGTATCGATCGACGTGTAGAGAGTTATCAAGGTAGTTTGTTCGAACGTCAATCTTTCGGGATAGCACGAGTACCCTCGAGATTGCACGACCGTCCCATCTCGATTGGAAAAACTTTGAGTATGTGTGTATATCTGTATGCTGCATGTACGTTCAATTAATCATTATTCATTTCCGTTGAATTAAAATTATTAATAAACATAACTCAAAAGAAAGTCTTGCAACTCAAGTGCAGCTTTACATCCAGCAGATGCATAACATCGAATTATAATTTCGTAGTGTGGTTCTTTTTTTTTTTGATTTGTTCAAAAGAAATGAAAAAAGAAGAACAAGTAGAAGTCCTAAGAGAGGAATGGAAGATTCGTTAAGAATAAAATAAATAAGAGTGGTAGAGAACGAGTATGTCGTCGTCGTCGTCGTCGTTGTCGTCGTCGTTGTCGTCGTAATTTCAATGAAAAGGTAGAAGACTTTCCGAAGGTTACCGAAAACTGCCGAAGAAAGAAGAAACTTGCCACGAAGGGTTCTTCAAGATGGCACCATCAGCGATATTTAGAACCTTCTCTGCCTCTCTATTTCTCATTCACTCGTACTGCTCTTCCCTCGTCTCCATCTCACTCCTTTATCCTTTCTTCCTTTCTTTCTTCCTTTCTTTCTTTCTTTTTCTCTCTTCTTTCTCTTCATACTTTCGTTCTTTAGCGACCTCGAATGATACCTCCACCTTTTTACACCTCAAAACCCGATAACCTACATTTCGCATTTGTGGCCAAGGGACTTCGAGATAAGAATGTCTGTTTAATGCTCATACACCCACGGGAAAGGACTATGCTTTTGCGCCTATAATCCTTTTTTTTTGTTATTTTTTCTCTACATTTCTTCGTCTTTTTCTTTTTTCCTTCTTCTTCCTTTTGCAACTTGAAGGTATCCCCGTTCGTTTATATTTATTTATTCAATTTCTTTAATCTTGATAACCGGTTTTCGGTTGACTTTTAAATAAAACAAACAAGAGTCCCATCGACGGGAAAAGTGTGTTAAAATCTTGTTTTCCCATAGTCGTTTAGTTTTATCTTTAATTATCGGATCAATTAAAATAAACTTCTTTTCAACGTTTTATATTTGTTAAAAATTCTCATCTTTTTATCCCCTTCCCTTAGCATCGATCTGTTTTTTTGTTTTTCTTTTTATTCATTTCGAATATAAACAACAGCGATAAAAAGGACAAAAATTTTTTTAATCTACCACCGAGATTTTCAATTGTAAGCATGTATTAGTTATACACGCACAGTAGGTTTTACATGGAAGATAAACGAAGCTTTCTCTTTTTATGGATATGAAAGTATAGCTGTGCGAGTGGGTGCAATATATATATAGACATTTGCAAAGCAGACTTTAATTTGCAATGTTTCATATTTGCCCCGCGGAGGATGCGAATCTAGCGACTTATTTGAAATTTTTTTTGGTTGTACGATTACCGTTCCCTCGTCGTAGTCGTCTTCTTCTTTCTTTCTTTCTTTCTTTCCTTCTTTGAACAAACGATTAGAAAAAAAAATCTTCAAACAGAAACATAACTGTTAGTTTTTGCAATTATGATAATACGATGGTTATATTTCGATTTTTAATAAACCTATAATTTATCTATAAGTATTATCTATAAGTAACAATCCTGTAATATGTAAAAATAAAACAATAAAAATTCATAAAATTTATATTATTCATTTTTAAATAAAAGAAAATATTTTATTCACCATGTGCAATTGGTTAAAATCTTATTCTATATTAAGATAAATTTGTTCTTTTTTTTAAAACGGTCCATTTGTCGTAGGTTTAGTGTTAATATTTACTTTTGAATAAATATAAATAAATTTTCAGTAATGATAGAGAGATTTTTATATAAGCGTTAATACATTTTATCTTGCATCACCGCAAAGATAGAAGATTAAATATAAAGTGTTGGTAAACACTCGTTGATTCATCGGTTTTCTATTGATCACGTTTTATAATTAAAATATTAAAAATGGACAGATTTTTATTTGTTAAAGGAATAAAATCAATTTAAAACGTCTTACCACCATTAATTTACTCCCGGCAAGATTACGAACAAAAAGAACTTCTAAAGACGACTGAAATGATTTAACTATATTTCTAAACATGTGTTTATTTTTTCTCTCCCGAGTTAAATGTGAACACTCGGGACATTTGCAGTTCGGCCCTCCTACAGTAAGCAAGTCAAATTCGACACATGGCTCGTAAGAATATTATTCTATTTAATATTTCACAACGATTTTTAATTAATTATTTATAATTATTAATTATATTAATTAATAACGTACGCTCATCACATTGAATTATTTTTCTTTCATCGTTTTTTATTATCAAATCAATCGTGAATTTTTCATAAACACACACACACACACAGCCGATTTATTTTCTAAATTTTATTTAATATTTAATCCGATTGTTTATATTTATTATATATATTTCTTTCATGAATTATTAATTGAACTCTCATAATCGTTGATGATGAGAGACCAGACGAAAAATTTATTCTATACGACTGATTAATTGTCAATAAGTTTATTAATATTTAAACAAATCTTTATTATATTAATAATTAA